GGATTTTGGATTTTATCCATTCTGCTACCCTATGTCTTTTGATTGGTGCATTCAGTCCATTTACATTCAGTTTTATTATTGAAAAATATGGGTTTAGAGTCACTGTGTTCTTTGTAGGACTCATGCTTGTGGTGGTGTCTCTGGTACCTTGTGTTCCTTGCCACATTTCCCTCAGAGAGCCCCCTCAGGATTTCTTGTAGGGATGGTTTAGTGGTGACAAATTCTTTCAATTTTGTTTATTTGGAAAGACTTTTATCTCTCCTTCTATTCTGAATGACAGGCTTGCTGTATAGAGGATTCTTGGCTGCATATTTTTTCTGTTCATTACATTGAACATTTCCTGCCATTCCTTTCTGGCCTTCCAAGTTTCAGTAGATAGGTCTGTAACTACTCTGATAGGTCTCCCTTTGTGTATTAGGGTCCTTTTATCTCTAGCTGCTTTCAGAATTTTCTCTTTGCCCTTATATTTTGCCAGTTTCACTATGATATGGCATGCAAAAGATGATTCAAGTTACATCTGAGAGGAGTTCTCTTTGTCTCTTGGATTTCAATGTCTGTTTCTTTCCCCAGATTGGAGAAGTTCTCAGCTATAATTTGTTCAAGTACCCCTTCAGCACCTTTCCCTCTCTCTTCCTCTTCTGGAATTCCTATGATATGGATATTGTTCTGTTTGATTGTATCGGTCAGCTCTTGAACTTTCCTTTTGTGCTCCTGGATCAGTTTATTTCTTTTTTTTTTTTTTTTTTTTTTTTTGGTTTCCTCTCTCTTTTTCTATAATTGTGTCTACTAATTCACCTATTCTCCTCTCTGCCTCTTCAATCTGTGCATTCGACACCTCCATTTTATTATGCATCTCATTTATAGTATGTTTTAATTCATCACAACTATTTTGAAGCTCTATAATCTTTGTAGCAATAGCTTCTCTGATGTCTTCCGTGCCCAGCGATTAATTTTATGACTATTGTTCTAAATTCTTGTTCAGTTATTTTGCTTATATCTGTTATAGGACTTCTTTAAGCTGTCAATTCTTCCTGGAATTTCTTTAGAGTAAAGATCTTCTGCTTCATCATTTTGGCTAGCCTTTTGTCTCTTCTCAGTTTTAAAAGCCTTTTATGTTCTCTGCACCTGTGAGTACTGATATATTAAAGAAGGTCATTGACTTTCCAAGGCCAGACCATTCAGGAAGTGCTCTTTGAATGGTGTCTCTTGGTCTCTCTTGTTGATACTTTGGTTATTTTATTTACCTACTTGTAGTGGTATTTGGGACTCTCCCCCATGTGTACTTTGACTTGTTTCTTGAGGTATCCCTGAAAAGGAAAACAGACAGACAAATACACAGGGAACAAAGGCATGCAAACACACAGAAAAATCCAACTAACAAGCAAACCATAAGGGAAAGGAAAAAGAAAAAAGAAATAAAAAGACAAAGGACAGTCTGAAAGCATAAAACCAGAATTCCCAGCTACAAATAAAGAGCAGGGTATATGCAGTGCCAACGGAAGAGCATATACAAAGAGAGAAATGACAGGGGTGGGAGAAAGTGAAACTGGACAATGACAAGGCAGGGAGACTAAGAGGATTAATTCAGAGAGAGAAAGAGGAGAATATGGTAGGAGGCGAGGAGAAAGAAACGAAGATAATGTTATCCAAAGAAACTATATAGTCAGATTACTCCAGAGAGAGAGAGATAGGAAAGTAAGATGGAAGTGTAAAATGTACATCTAGAGAATGAATTAAATGTGACTGTTTAAGCAAACCAATGAAAAGAGTGCCCAGACCAGCAGAGGGGAGGGATACGAATGAGACAAGGGAAACTATATCTGAATAGAAATAATTGATCTAGAATTAGTCATGGCAGTGCATCCATGTTGGTCTTGCCCTGGGCTCAGGTAAATCAAAGAAGCAGCTATCTAGTGGGGATGGACATGGTTTGGTGTAGGCAGGTCTTAGCCTCCACTGTCGTCCCTCAGCCGGTCCCTGAGGTTCTGCCTTGGTGGTTGTGGGGAGAAAAATGGCAGCAATCCAGTCCCTTCTCTAACCAAGCATTACAAATCACTCTTTTGGGCCTGATCTCCCTGTGCCACAGGCATAGCCAAGGGGGGCCACGTTCTATGTCCCAAGCCCCACCTTGTTTCAGGTCTCAATCTAAGCACTTTATTGATACTGCCCAAAATGTAATCCTGCAGGACTCAGGTCCTAGCTCATATTTATCTCACTAATTAGTTTCAAATATGCAGAAACTAATTAGATCTTTTGAGATCTTATACTTTTTGAAATTTTTAAAAAATGATCTTTTCCCAGTAACTGTGAATCCAGAAATGTTTCAACACATGGAAGCATGGACTGTCCTGTGTTGTTCGTTCACAGATATCCTTCCATTGCTGGCCTGCTTGGAAAACATTTAGGAAGTTTCTTAAAGTATTTTGAAGAATATTGCACCTCCTATAGGCAACTTCAGAGGATGTTGTATGTACAATATTAACACGTTTAAATTTTGAATCAATTGGTTGGTAACACCTAATTTTAAGGATCAGACCCTTCACTCTACTGTTTTTTAAGACCAAGCAGATGTTGTTTAAGGGGAAGAATTGCAATGACTAGTGAATAATTCCTAGAGACCTCATGCAAAGTACAGTGAATATAGACAGTATTGCATTAGAATCATTAAATTTGCTAAGAGACTAGATCTTAATTATTCCAACCACAGAAAAGAAATTATAATTATGTGGTATGATAATGGTGCTAATTAGCACTATAATGACAACCATATTGCATTACAGAAATATATCAAAAAACATGTACACCTTAAATTTACACAATATTATATATCAAGTATATTTCAAATAACAAAGGAAAAAAAGGCTAACCAAATTGCTGAGGATTATAGCTTTTCATCAAATTTATTATTTTGATAAATATTATTAAAAATTTTTTTAAATGATTTATTAATTCTGAGAGAGAGAGAGAGTGAGCAGGGGAGGGTCAGAGAGAGAGGGAGATACAGAATCTGAAACAGGTTCCAGGCTCTGAGCTGGCAGTCAGCACAGAGCCCGAAGTGGGGCTGGAACCCACGAACTGTGAGATCATGACCTGAGCTGAAGTCAGACACTTAACCGGCTGAGCCACCCAGGTACCCCAATTTTGGTAAATATTAAAGTGGAGAATCATGACTTAAATTATACAATTTTATGGCAAAAATGACTAATTTCCAATGTAAGTATTATAGATAAGAGAAGAGATTCAGAGACGTATATTTTAGACATTAATTGCCATGTATTACAGAGAACCCTGCTGCTATCTTGGTTCAAATAGGTTGAAAAATATACTTGAAAACACCAGCCTTTAGGATAGAATTCAACCCAATTTGACAAATACTATTGTTTAATGGAATGGAAACTAATTATTTCAAGTAAAAAAGTTACTATAATTTTACATTTGCAGTGTTATCCTAGATAACATAATAAAAATATCTATTCAATGCTTTTTATGAAGACAGTTTTCCTCAATCTGCTCTTGTTAAAGTTCTTTTTTTAAAAGATAAAATGTACAATCTTCATATGATATAAACAACTCTGAGATTAGAAAAATATCTAACTTGTTTATTAGTTTCACATCATGTTTCACCTTGAGAGCAGTTTCACATGAAAAGATAAAGCAATATCCACTGATTGTTGTGTTTCCATGGTAACCAGCAGACAATAACATATTTTATTGTAGTTCTGTTGTTTTACTAATTAGCATCACTCAGCTGTGCTCCCAGTCTTCCCCACTTCAGAGAAGGTCCCTCCTGCCTGAGGGGACATCCGAGGGGGTGAGGCACCATTTCCCACGGACTGCCTCAGGAGCCGTCCTCACCCACGGAGTTACCTGGGGTCTCCAGGCCGCTGTGCTGTCACCCTCAAGGTCGCTTCAGGTCACATGGGTGGACTAGAGGTTTTCTGAAGAAACAGTGCTGGGCTGGACCTTCGGGTGTCCTTAGTTCCTCTTCTCATTTCCCCTCGGCTTTGTCCTGGCCCTTCCCCCACTCTGGTGAGGCTGATACTGATACTCCTGTGCTGCTCCAAACCTACACCTGCTGATGTCATTAGACTCACTTCACTGTTGAAATGGATTACTGGCATCAGGTCCTCAACTAGCATTTGTTTGAACCTTAATTATCCTGGTAATTCCCAGTCATGTTCCTTTAGCTCTGTCTAGTATTCCAGAATGTAATCTGGAAGGCGATATTTTAAATACTTTTTACCTGATGAAAGACGAAACGATATTAAATCTGGCCCTAGTGAAATATAGTTTCTTTATATATTGTTCTAATTAGGAGTGATTTATATGTATATAGTAAGGGGAGGGGCCTGGTAGATATGCAATTCATGTTTGTAATTTCATCTGAAGTGGTTTAGAATTTTCTTCTCTGTTGTAATTAGACCTGTATTTCCCTCTGAAATGGAAGAACCTTTGCATCAGCCTCACTCACTTTACTGGGTTGATTGGACAAGTATTACCAGTATCCAGTCCTTTCTGTCTCCCTGCCCTGTTCTTATGAGTCAAGGTCTTGTGCCTCTTTGAGTTCTTATGCCTGTTAGTTATGAAAACCAAGGTTTATACCTTTGGGATATTTTATTTGCATGAGCAGAATTTAAGTTTCTTTTAAAAAGACTATAATAATAACACTATCTGATTATTCTAGCTAATATAACCAAAACAAAGGCAAGAACATTATATGAGAAAATATGCATGTAAATATGTAAACATATCACAGGCCATCAGAAATATGATCTTATAAACATTTTATACTAAACTTCCAAAGTTAGAGGATAACATGTCAGTAATTTTAATGATATTTAGAATGATAAATTTACCCATTAACTCAGTAAGAAAAAATGTAGGGAAAGGGAGACAAAAGGGCAAGAAAATTTTCAAAAGATAGAGGAAAAACTCAGACAATAAAAAGTGTGTTTAGTCAAGTATTTCTATTTGCTCAAACCAGGAAAGTACTTTCCTACCGGAAGCAATCAGCCTCAGATGCGATGATAAATGGCCCTTTGCACTGTGCACTTAGAAGAGTGGCTTTGGGCCCACGGGGTCTGCTCCCTCTGTCCAAGAGATGCCCAAATCGTTCCTCACAATCCCTTTAGTGGTGGCGATAAAAAGACAACAGAAAACAAGTCATAAGGCAGAGTTCTTACCCCAGCATGAGTTAAAATACCTTTACTGAAGAAGGACTTACACATCTTTTATTTCATGGAGTTCACGCCATGCATTGTTCTAAGCGCTCATCACAAGATAATTTCTGTGGCTTTACCGTTTTAAAGATAATTCACATAGATTCTCACAGAAAGAGGGAACACGATGTTATAGGCAGAGCTGAAATCACCATGAATGGGTCGAGGTTCAGATCCTGACTGCATCAATCAATTGTCCACAGTTCACCTGGATTCTCTTGACATAATCGCTTTATGTGAGGGGAAAGGGGTTGAACTAATTGCATCACCTTTCAGGTTTCCTCAGTTTTTCAGCATCTTAAAGTAATATTTATATTGAAAACTGCACTGTCCACCGCGATGAATCCATTGCATGCGTGTATCACATGCATTCATCCTGCATATACTGATGGCAGCCATGTTTGCTCTCAGCTGCTGCATAACAAATCACTAGAAACATAGAGACATAAAACAACACACACCTATGACCTCATAATCACCATGGGTCAGGAGTTAGTCCTCACAGGGCCACACGGTTCACAGGATTTCACTTATAGGGATACAGATTCTGCTTCACAGCCTGGGAAGGGAACTGTTCTCTGGTCTTTGTCCTTTTTGTCCAAGGCTGCTCTGAGGACCGTAGCTCCGTTTTCCTGGGTCCCTGAGAGATTTGGGCTGGGCGTCCAAGAACTTGCAGGCAGATGCAAGTGAAATCCACTTTCAGCAATCTGCATCATGCACTTAGAAATATTCATTTTTTGGAAGAAGAAATAGCAAAAAAAATAATTGAAAATCTAAGAAGAATCAAACCGGGGGTGAAGAAGTGGGTAAGCTTTCCTGATATTATGTAGAGTGCAACCTTCCATAATGTCTCTCTACTTCCTTAAAATACAACTTCTGGGAAGCGGTTTTGAGAGAATAGAGCGCAAGACTGGCGTGGCCTCTCCTCTACTCTTCCAAGCGGCTTGTTCCATATTGACTTTAGGTTGTTGCAAAGCACTAGCATTTTCCCTTCCAAGTTTAAACTTGATTCTTAAAGTGATTTATTAATTTGTGATCCCTAGATGTACTCAATAAGAGAGTTTAACAGCAAAAAAAAAAAAAAAACAACAACAAAAAAAAACAGCCAAAAAAAAAACCCTTTTGACTTTTCTCTCTCTCTCTCCAACTTTATGAGGTCTTCCTGGTCCTTTTCTCCCATGAAAGTTGGATTTCAACAAAACAAAAAGAAAACTAGGTAGTTTTTAGCTACCATAGTGTGTGTTTTTTTAACAGCAAAAAAAAAAAAAAGAGAGAAAGAAAAGAAAAGAAAAGAAAAACACATGTTTTGTATTGATGTATTATCTGTTCTCCTCTCTGAAAGGAGGCCAACATGCTAGTGGGTCATGATCCCACAGCTTGAAAACTGTGCATGTGACACGTTTGCAATCAGTGTACCTGGGGAAGCTGATGGGTGGGAACCACATCAACAAACATTCCAAGGTCTTGAGTCTGGATTTTTACTCTTCTTCCCAGGATTATGAATTATGCCCTGGATTGAAATAGTTTCCAGTGTTCATAATAGAGATAAAATAATCCGAATAGTATCTATGTCATGTATGTATTAGAGATGAGAACCCGCATGAATTTACCATACCAACAAAATTTCATTTACTTCGGCAAACACAAACAATAGGTGCATTTGAAAAAAAAAAGTTTAAATAAGCTCTTTAATTAAATAACATTTGCCTAAAGTATTACACAGGGTGAAACTGAAGATACATGCCCATCTGGGTATTTTCTGCAGAGTGCCCAATGGAGTGGCTCAGAAGCAGAGGATAAAGTGATCTGAGCACTTCCTCATCACGTCTCTTGACAGTTGATACTGGGATGGCCCAGACACCTGGCTTAGACGGCTTAGACGCCTCCATCCCTGTGTGGTCTCCATGCGGTCTCTCCTGCACAGAAGCTTCAGGAAGCTAGACTTCTTACCTGGTGGCTCAGGGATCCCATGGACCTTGTTCCAAGGGAGCCATATGGAAGTCATATTGCTTTTGGAAATGTAGCAGTGGAAGTCAGGTGACTAGTTCTGCTGTGCTGTGCTAGTCTCTGTGGTCACGAGGATTTGCCCAAGGGGAGATGCCTTAGCCCTCCCACTCTTAGTGGAGGAATATTAATGTCATGTGTCAAGAACATTGAAGATGGGATGTATATTGGTACAACAATCTTTGGTCACACCCACTAAGCTTTATGTAGCTTATTTTTATAGAACATTGCAGTGTTCTAGTTAAATGGTTTATGGACATTTTTTCTAAACTTAGTGATCTATTAGCAAATATTAGCTGACATAATACATATCTTCTATCATAATACAGCATCTTCTACTATCTTCCCAAATTTTATGTGGAGATGGTTCACTAATGCTTTCTCCACTTTTCAGATTAGAAAATAAAGATTTACTAAGGTTAGATCATTCTCATAGGTATATGGAGGTGCACATTTTGAACTCATATTTGACTACTGAGTCCTTAACCACCCTCTACACCATCCTGGTCCCTCATTTACAGAGTTGCATTCCAGGCATAAGTTGATTTACCCATGATCACACACTTCCGGGGTCACTGACCCAAGACCAGTGCCTAAGCCTCATGAACCCCTGCCCACACCACGCTGTTTCCGATGAATAATATGGAAGTGAGGAGCCTTGATGGGTTACTTGCAAGAACTTTTTGGAAGGTGACATAATATTTAAATGGATCAGAGTAGGGCCAGAGTTTACTCTGGATAATAAGCTGGGCAGGCTGCCACATCCTTGGTGATCAATTCTCTTGATGGAAATGTTTACAAAATTGCTCTTATTACAGTCTCTCAGAAACTGTGCCAACATGTGCTAATGTACCCCTGTTACCTCCAGGTGGTGCCCTCAGCTTTCCAGAAAGCCCTCAGCTGACCCCAGCCAACAAATGGAGATTCAACGGGAAGTGTGCACACCTCTCACCCTTTTGACTTTTCCTTTCTCTCTCCCTTCAGCTTTATGAGGCCTTCCTGGTCCTTTCTTTGATGAAGGTTGGATTTCAACAAAACAAAAAGAAAACTAGGTAGTTTTTAGCTACCATTGTGTGTGTGTGTGTGTGTGTGTGTGTGTGTATCCATTATATCATCTGAATTTCAAAACAACCATTTGCAATAAAAAAAATCAACCAATTTTTAAGTTAAAACTTTAGAGTGTGAAAATAACTTGCAAGTATCATACAAAGAGAGAAGATATGAACTGGATATTCTTGAACCAAAAAAAAATTGTTTTCAGTCTCCAAATTAACTCCTTTTGTTTCTTTGCTCAAGTTAAACACCATGCATGTGGTAAGGGGGGTGGAATTTGTATAATTAAAAGAGTGTTATTTTTCCACAAATGAAGCAAGTTAATGCCCATCATAGTCAGTTATATTTTAGTAAAAAAAAATAGGTATTTCCATGCTTTTTCAGATTTATGGCCCTACCATTTCTGTCCCACTTGTTCTAAATACCTAGTGCACATGTCTCCAGCCTGGACACAACTGACATTCTGTGTCTGGACATGATTTCCCAGAACCTCTGCCTCCAAGCACCGAGGCTATGCCTAAGAGACACTCCTTTTTCACTTTCCCTTATGAACTGTATCTCACCCAGGCTACATACGTCTGCTTATGCAGGACACCAGCAATGAGGGCAAATTCAAGGTTTCAGGTTTACTAAACCCTGGGACTTCTCATCTTTGTCTCACCCCGTACCTCCTGTAAGCAACTGTTAGTGAACATCACAAGGCTGTTGAACAGTGCAGATATATTCTTAGATCTTAGTATGCTGTCTTAATAAGAGATTGAAAAGAAGATGCGTTTTCTTGGGAACGGTGATTCATGCCATCAGGAATGCAGATTTTTTCTGCTGGAGAAATTACTAAAGACTTCAAACCAGCTAGATTTATTTATGACATGACAATTTATTGAGTGCCTCCATATTTTCTATAGCTAATTGTAAAAGGTCCCTAGTCTCAGATGATCATCAGAGAAAATGAATTCACACATGGTGAATGTTCTAAATCAGGGGTAAATATCAGAAGTGTACAAGGAGCTTTATCACAACACACATGCCTGGGTGTGCTGCCCCCAGACTGAGGAGGTCTACAGTCCTGAGTAGTGTAGACTTCTAAGTTTCCTTCCAGGTGATCTTTGGAAGACGTGCCTCATTAAATCTGGATGTTTTTTCAAAGGTGTTCCAGCCAGAATGGCTCCAAGATTCATTGGGCCCTTTCTAATTCCACATACTGAAGGGGGTGCTTCACTCACACATGCACTCCTTGAAGGCGTGATGCAGACAGAGGTGAAGGCACAGCACTAAAAATTTCACCTCATTTCATTCCCAGTCTTTGCAGACTGGTAGCGGCTTTCTGAGATTCTTCGGGATTTATGGAGTATACACGAGATGGTGCAGATAAATAAAAGCAGTAGTTAGCTCTTCTATTTTGTGATGTTGGGGTTAATTCATGGAGTTTGCTTTTGTTGTGGTTCTAGATTTGGATCTAATATATTTCCCAAACATTATTGCTGTTCCGGTTGTTTGTATGGTAGGCAGGAAACCATTGTGCAAAGTCATTAAAATGCCACCATTGTCCAGGGGGGTTAGAAACACCTGTAATTGGAATTCAGACCTCCTCCTTCTCCTTTTTCTCCATTTTATTTAAAAGTGGCAGAAACCCAATTGAGACAAAATGGGAATTTATTAACACATGTAGCTCAGAACAGCCAGGATTAGGGGAAACAAATAATGTGCTGTTTCTCCTGGTCTCCTGAACTGTATATGAAGGGGAAGGAGGAGAAAAATGGCTACAGTCAACTTGAAGTTTGCATTGTCCCAGTGTCAAAATCTCAGGAAGAGAAAATCTTTCCCACGTAGGTGTAAGGAAACAGAGAACAGGGCTCTGCTCACCCAACCTTGAGTCATAAGCTCAATCCTTGGGACCATCCACAATGGCTCATCAGCATGATGCCCTGATTCAAAGCTCTGTCAGAATGCCATGGAATGGAATAAACAGATATGGTTCCCTTAAAGGGCGTCCGTGTGTGCACGCACAATACTGAGGAAGGGTTGATGCTGAAGGGGCTCCTAGCATAAGGAGAGAATAAGATGCTGCATGTAGTAAATCCGCGAATGTGCCCAGCATGTTTTCTGAGTATGGATTGTCCAAACTAAGAATGTGCCTTTGCAGTAGGCTTAGATCTAGAAGGGACGATTCCTCAGCACAAACTTTGTTCTCAGGGTGTTATACTACAAAGCGTACAGAGTTCACAGAAAAATATTGGCTTAATTTTCTTTTTAAGAGAAGATCTTACAGACACTAAGATAAAATCTAGGAATCAAATAATTCATGTACTTGTACTAAGAGTATATCCAAG